GAAAACAGAAGTTCGAGGAAAGAAAAATGGGAATACTTGAGTGGTGGCCCAAGGTGTCTGCGTCTTGTCCACCCCCCCTCAGAAGTGATGATAAATGGCGGGGGTCTTATCGCAAATCAGCGGCGCGCGCGACTTGGGCGAACTGATTTTTCTGGAGGGGCAACTGAACCCCTCCATTGCCTGTGACTGTGACGCAGGACCGCATTCTTCTGGTGGGTTGGTGTGGGGCGCGCTGGTTCTGTCAGTCAGCGCCGCCCGGGGGGCTTCGAGAAGATTCGAGTCCAAGTACTGCTCCACGTTCGATGGGTGTCGAGGTACCTCGTCATCATCTCTTCATGGAAAAGTCGGCCAAGCTGAGACTGCGCGACCCTTTGGCGTTCTTGTTCTGGTCCAGCAGTGCCTGCAGGCCTGCCTTGCGACTCTTGGCCCTTTTCTTGCTGCTGGCGTTGGCCGACGACGTTGTTGGTGTTGGTGTCGAGGCCTTGCTGCTTGTCGTGGACGCACTGCCACCCGTCTTCACTGCACCAGTAGCCTCATGAGCCTGCGTCTCGGTTGCCGCCCACGTCTTCTGTTGTCTGAGCTGTTTCCTGCTCCTGTTGGCCGATGGGGGCGGCTCCAGCTTGATGACCGTCTTCTCCATGCAGTGGCCACACTGCAGGACCTTTCTCAATCCTGTAACCTTGGTGTTACGCTTCCTGTCTGCTGCCTTTTTGGCGGGCCTATGACGTTTGGGGTTCGTTCTGTCCGTCTCCATCTTGACACTGCTGCCCATGCCGGGGATCATGATGAGTCCACAGGCGGCGCAGGCACGCTGGCGTTGGACGTCGGTCTGCTGGAGGCCTTCGCTGAGGGAGAGCTCGTGGCTGCGGCTCATGAGCCATGCTGACGTCTCGGGTGCCGTCGCGCGTAGGAGGTGGGCGGCGTCGCTGAGAAAGTTCATGTGCTCCGTCATGGGCACTCTGTCCCTTGTCGGGAGTGCTCTCGAGGATGGTGCTTCCATCGCAGGGCCTTTGATGCCGGGATGGTTTGCCGTCCGAAAGGGGCGGAAGCGCTCTGTGAGGCCGGAAAGGTTCTTGAAGCAGAAGGGTCTTGAGGCAGGCGGTCGAGCTTGAGCAAGGACCACTCACTAACCCCCTGCCGCTCACGCCAGCCAGCTGCCACTGCTCAATTGACTACCTACCTACCTACCTACCTACCTACCTAGGTACCTCAGGTAGGTATGTACCTGCCATTGCCCCAATTGACTGTGTGTACCTTACCTCGCATCCAACCCCACCACGGCCACGGCCACCCCACCGACAAACCTCATGCAGAGCCTCCAGCTCCCATGGCCTGCCTTGACGACGAACACAGGGCTGGTCACTGAGGCCCATGAACGATTCGTCGCGGCTTGATCCCCTCCAATGTCGATGAGGGACACGAAGGGTGATCCCAGAAAGATCAGACCCCCCAAACCGAAGCCTGCAAACCCCATCACCGTGAATT